ACCTTAGCCTTGAATGAGTGTCATCACGTAGATGTTATGCTTGCTTTCGTTACACAGACTCCCCTACCTGTTGTTGTTCTGCTTGTGTTGATTTATTGTACTTTTTTTGCAACAGCCGATCGGCACGTTAACGGAGGCGGTGGCCAAAAGTCCCCTGGTCAGTAGCCCTGTGGTCATCAAGATTGAGGAGTCACCCGAGAAGCACAAGGTGAGCTTCAGTGTTGGAAGTTTGTTTGTTTTGGGTTTTTTCTCGTCAAGCAGGTCTTTGTGGATCACTATGTGGTCTCAATTATATGTGAGGTAGAGTGATGAAATCTGGCGCCCGCCCAAATAATGTAATCAAGGCAATCCGCATTTTTCTGGCTGTTGGGCAATTTTTTGTCTAATTTTCTTTTTTTTTTGCTCAGTACCTTCTTTGTCCATTTAAGAACACATTTCTTTGTGGATTTTACATTGATCAAAGGCACAAAAGAATATAAATTTGCAATTCCAAGAACTCTCAAGCTTTGGAAGTCACAAAGCTTTGGCGCCCATTTTCTCGCTAATTTTACCTCTGACACCAGGAGATACCCACCTGCTTCAATCGCAAATGTCTTGACTTTTGTTCTAGATAGATGGGTTTGGGGTGTTTTTGCCAAATGCAAGACAAATGAACGAACTTTAAGATGATACTAATAACTCCCTTTGCCAAAAGATTTATGAGCGCCCAATTTCACCACTTCGTGACACATATTGTCGATGATTCAGCTGTGTGATATCATAACTGAATGCTTGTCAATAAAATGATGTAAACCCAGCTTTTGTATTGCTCAGGTTGAACATTTCTTGTTACAATATATATATATCATTGCCTGATTATCCTCATTTGTCGGTATGTTTTTGGCCTTGTATCACTCAAAACAGCAGATGAGTTGGTCTTACTACACTTGTTCTTTAATTTTTCTGATTCATTTTACTTTCTTATGGAGGTGGGATTTTTATGTATTCTTAGAAAGTGAATGAAAACTCGGTGGGGGGGTGGGGGTCGCTTCTGGTTGTGTTGTCCAAATTGTTAATGAATTAGGTTCAAATTTACTAGAAGAGGGCCAGGCTTCCTCTGCATTTGTTTTTCTCAAATAATTGCCTTTTGTAATTTGTCAGTCATTGTGCATTTTTTATATTTCTTTCTTTGAGTAATGTATTGAAATCATCCCTGGAACCTGAGAATGTTCTGGATAATAAAGATGTTTGTCAGGATAATAATAAATTGTTAAGCATATCGAGGCTGCTTTTAAGCAGAGATATGGGCTGTATTAATGCAGTTTATAATTACTGTTATTACTATCATTATTCATGTTCAGTGATGAAAAAAAAGTGTGGGTGGTTGGCAGGTGCTTTGATGTGATTTTCTCCTTCTTTCCTATTAAATATTTATCGTCCTCATCTCCCCTCCTGACTCCTTATTTTTTGGGGTTTTTTACTCTGTTGTAACACCTCTAATCTTTGGCATTTATATAACCGTATTGTGTTGCAAGTGCCTTAAAACACTTACTAAAATAAAAACATGAAGCAATGTAGGAATGGCAGGCAGTGGTTGCTGGCTGCTATAGTGGAGTCTGCTTCATCTACTTCTTTTCTTTGTGACAATCATCCTAATCTGCTATTGGAGAAGTGCGGCCAGTTTCGTGCTGACCCTTTGTAAACCCCAACTCAACTTTGCTGTCCCAGGTTCCCTCTCCCCCCCCCCCCCCCCCCAACTCTTTTTATCTTGTATTTTATATAATGTAGTTTGTAAAGCGCATAAGGCTTGCTGTTGAGCGTGAATTTGTGCCGTACAAATGCTATCTATTGTTACTTGTTTGGGTTTGTTGGGTTTTTTGGTTGTTGTTTTTTTTTTGGGGGGGGGGTTGTATACTGCCTGGCAGAGAGAAACATTCTCCATGTTGTTTGGGCCTTATGTGGATCTTATGCCATGCTTGAAAATAGTATCATTTTCTGTTTGGTTTGTTGTTTTATCTAAGTCATTTTTTAAAAATTCACCTGCAGGCTCTCATTCTTGTGGTGGACACGAATGTACTCATTTCCTGCCTGACTTTCCTGAGTGAGATCATGAATGCCGATCTTCCAGGTTAGACCAAGTTTTTTTTTTAATCCCTAAAATTCTATATTACAGTCGAACTTGCTCTTAACGACCACCTGTCCAAGAACAACACCCCCTGTACAAACAACCACTTCCCACTTCTCCCTTTTGTGGTTTTTTTCTGTTGTAATGATTCTGCCTAAGAAAATCACCTACCCTCCGGGGCAGTGCCACTGACTGTAGTGTCTCTAGGCCATTCCCAAAGGTGGGACATTTCTCGTTCAAGCACAGTAGAATTGTAAATGGGCTGATTCATCAATGTCCAGCTCATAACTGTGCCTGATCTACAACAGGGAACTGCTGCTTTTTCTTTCCTAATCCTTACTATTGTCATTTTCCTCTACTTCTTTTGTATGTTTGTCACACTCTTGTGACCCGCTATTTCCGGGGTGCCTTGATAGTCGAAGCAGACCTTGTGCTGTTGAAGCTGGAGAGGTGAGCAGAGTAAGTCTGATTCCTTGTAAAGACTTCTCTGTTGACACACACCCCTTGGTGCTCATATGACCTTATGTCGTTGCGAGCGCCGTAAAACCATCTACTAAAAAAAAAAAGAAGAAGAAAATCACCTGTCTAAGAAGATAACCACTTTTCCTTCAGCATTGAACGATCCTCTTGGTCAGGGTTGACTATATCTATAACGTAGCACCTTTGGTACTCGTGACATACTGTTAATATGTTTTTGATTTTGAGGTTGTAGAGACAATGACTATTTGTCTTGAATTAGGGGATTTGTTCTCTCTCTCTGTCTCTCTGTCTCTGTCTCTCTCTGTCTTTCTGTCTCTCTGTCTCTCTGTCTCTCTCTCTCTCTCTCTCTCTCTCTCTCTCTCTCTCTCTCTCTCTCTCCCTCTCCTCTTTCTCTCTCTCTCTCTCTCCTCTCTCTCCCCTCTCTCTCCTTCTCTCTCCCTCCCTCTCTCTCTCTCTCTCTCTCTCCTCTCTCTCTCTCTCTCTCTCTCTCTCTCTCTCTCTCTCTCTCTCTCTCTCTCTCTCTCTCTCTCTCTCTCTCTCTCTCTCTCTCTCTCTCTCTCTCTTTCTATATGCAGACTTACAAACACACAAACACACACTATGTACTTTCATTATATAATCATTAGTCTTTAGGCCCTATTAGAACTAGAACTGTCAAAACTGTCATATTTATGTGTTTGGGGCAAAGTGTACTGACACACGTATGCTGATCAACACCTCCCCAGGGTTAGGAATCCCAACTCTGGTTTTGCCGTGGGTCGTCATGCAGGAACTGGACTTCATCAAGGACAGTCGCAAAAGACGAGACAGATATGTGAGTACATTTTATTTTTTTTAGCCCTAATTTCCTGAATTTATTAAAGGTTCTAAAGAAAAAACAACAGCAACAAAATACAGGGAACCTAAGAACCCGTACAAACAACCACTCCCCCCCCCCCCTTTTGCATTTTTCCTTTGTTATAATGACACTGATCAAGACCTTCACCTGTCTAAGATGACCACTTTTTTCCCCAACAATTGGTGACCATGTTGGACAGTTTTTATTTTAAATACCATTTCCCATGAGGATTCATCATCATCATTGCCTTTCTCACCCTGCACCAGGGTATAGACCACGGACAAACACCCATCACTTTTCTCTATCCTGGGCTAGCCTCTTGATGTTATTCCATGTCTTCCCACTTTTCTGTACATCGATTTCTGTGATTCTTCTCCAGGTTCCACGAGGTCTTCCCCTTGATCTCTTGCCCTGTGGGTTCCAATCCAAAACTTTCTTTGTTATGCAGCAGCCTGACTTCCTGACAGTATGTCCAATCCATCGCCACCGCCTTCTTCCTACCTCATCTCTGACTGGGATCTGTCTTGTTTTCCTTAACACTTCCACATTGGTGACCCTGTCTGTCCATCTGATCCTCAGTAACTTTCTTAGACACCTGTTCAAGAAAACCTGGATCCTCTTTATGCAAGTCTGTGATGCGTTCCATGCCTCACATCCATACAACAGGACCGACTTCACGTTTGAATTGAAAATCCTCAGCTTTGTTCGAAGTGAGATATCTCTGGTCTTCCAAATCCTATCCAAAGATATGAAAGCAGCCTGTGCTTTTCCAATGCGGGACTTTATTTCAGCACCTGTTCCTCCCTCTCTGTCAATTATGCTCCCAAGATAGCAGAAGGATTCAACGTTTTCTAGGGCCTTTCCTTCTATTGTGACCTGCTCCTTTCGTTGTGCATCTGTCCTTAGGACCTTTGACTTTCCGGGGTGGATCCTCAATCCAACAGACTCCGATAGGCTGTTTAATACTGAAGTCTTTGCTTGCATCTGTTCCTGAGTGTGCGACAGAAGCGCCAAGTCGTCTGCAAAATCCAGATCGTCCAACTGTGTCCATGGTGTCCACTGTATACCATTTCTGTGTCCTCTGGTGGTTTCATTCATCAGCCAGTGGATTGCCAATATGAAGAGGAACGGTGATAGTAAGCATCCCTGTCTCACACCAGTCTTGATGTCAAAGCTGTCAGTGAGCTGGCCATCATGTACAATCCTGCAACTTGTCCCTTCGTACATGCTCTTGATGAGGTTCACCAACTTCTGTGGGATTCCGTGGTGTCTCATTATCTTCCATACTGTCACTTGGTCTATACTGTGAAAGGCCTTCTCATAGTCAAGGAAGTTGACAATCAGCTGGGAGTTCCACTCCAGGGACTGTTCCACAATAATCCTCAGCGTGGCAATCTGGTCGGTGGTTGAGCGATTTTTCCGGAAACCGGCCTGTTCATCCCATAGTCTTGGATCCATTCCTGTCTTGATTCTCTCCAGAATGAATCTGTTGAAGACCTTACCTGGTATTGAGAGAAGAGTGATCCCTCTGTAGTTGCTTCAGTTGCTGAGATCCCCCTTTTTTGGAAGCTTCACGAGATGTCCTGCTTTCCAATCCTTTGGAAACTTGCTCTCATTCCAGATCCTGGTAAACAGTGGGAGGAGGATGTCTGCAGTCACATTGGCATCTGCTTTTAGGGCTTCAGGTGGAATCTGGTCGGGACCGGCCGCTTTACCTTTGTGCAGCTTTTTAATGGCATCCAGAATCTCTTGTTTTGAAGGAGCATCACAGCAGATAGGGAACTCATTTTTTGCTGGCAGTATGTTTGGTGGGTTACTCGGTGGTGGTCTGTTCAGGAGACTGTTGAAATGCTCTACCCATCGTTTAGACTGAGCTTCCTTTCCAAAAATGCTTTTCCCCTCTTGGTCCTTTACAGGTACTTCAGGTTTCCCATATTTTCCAGCAAGTGTCCTTGTGGTCTGGTAAAGGATTCACATGTGCCCTCCTATCGCTGCTTCCTCTGCCTTCTCTGCTAGCCTGTTCATGAATTCCTCCTTGTCTTTTCTTATTGATTTCTTGACATCTTTAGCTGTTGTTCTGTACTGCTCCAATGCCTCCGCTCTTGATCCTCTTGTTCTACTTGCATTCACTTCTGCCTTCAGCTGTCTTCTTATCCTAATTAAATCCAATGAGTATTGGCTAATCCACTCCCATTTCTTCCCACCGAGTACTTCTTGGCATGTTGATGAAAAGACTTCTTTGACCTTGGTCCAGTGTGTATCCACGTCCGTGTCCTCACCGCCAAGATCAGCTAGAGGTTGAAATCAGTTCCTCAGCTGCAGCTGAAACTCTTCTTTCTTGTGTCCGTCCAAGAGACTTACTTGGAACTTCGTTCTTTTGATTCCTGTGCTGGTCCCGTGCTTTTTGAGTCGAAGCTTCAGTTTTGCCAACAGCAGATGATGATCCGATCCAACATCTGCCCCTCTCTGTACTTTGACATCGTCCAGTGAACGCCTGAACCTACGAGAGATACAAAAATGATCTATCTGGTTCTCTGTCACTCCATCTGGCGAAACCCATGTGGCCTTGTGAATCCTCTTGTGGGGAAAAACAGAGCCTCCAATAACAAAACTGTTGAAAGCACATATATTTGCGAATCGCTCACCACTCTCTTTCATTTGTCCCAAGCCATGTTGTCCCAAGCCATGTTGTCCCATACTTCTTTCATACCCCACGTTGTCCTGACCAATCTTGGCATTGGCATCTCCCATTATGATGTTGACATCCTTCCTTGGTAGTTTGTCGATGACCCCCCTGGAGCTGGCTGTAAAAGGCATCCTTGCCTTCATCCGAAGCATCATTTGTTGGGGCGAAGATCTGTACTATATTCATGTTGATGCTCTTGCTCCTTGCAGTGAATGAAGCCATGATGATCCTTTCCGTGTGTGGTTCCCATCCTCTAAGTGACTTCTGTGCATACTTACTTAAAATGATTCCTACTCCTTCCGCATAGTATTTGTCTTCCCTCCCAGAATACAATATTTGTTCCGCGAGCTGAGCTGCTTCTGTCCAGACTGTATCCAGTGTGTTTCGCTGACTCCTAGTATGTGCAGCCTGTATCTCTTCATCTCTTGTACTATTTGAGAACTCTTTCCTGCTTCATACAAGGTGGGAACATTCCACAGCGCAATCCAGAGAGACTTGTTCGACAGAGAAGGTTTCGGGTCAGAAGAGTCCTTTCGGCTTTGTCCGCTGTCCTTCATTGTTCCTGCTGATACAGAAGCTCCTCCTTCTCTCAAGATCGAAAAATAAAAAGCTGTGTTTGTCCGTGTTTCTGTAACATACTGTTTTTTACTGGGTTGGGTAGTTGGCCCTCCGCAAACTGGCACTTTTCGGGCGACCAGACCTATGCACTTTTAGTCGCCTCTTACGACACACAGTATCACGGCAGGTGTATTCTTTGCTCCCCCATAGTAAAACTATGGATGAGGATTCATTGAGGAGTAAATATTGTTGTCAAGAAATTCAACCATCAAATGATGTCACGACTAATCATTGTTATGGTCGTGTTGTTGTTGCTAATACTGTAGTAATTATTGTTATTGATTTAGTGGTCCAGTTATTGTTGCTATGGCTTTAGTTTGTTATTGACCCACTTGTTTTTTCTTGTTGATTCAACTTTTGTGAATGAACCCAAACTTTAAAACTGTGGATGGTTGACGGTTGCTCTGGTGTGATTTGTTCCTTATTTCATATCAAATATATGTCATCCTTATCTCTCCTCCTTCTTTTTTACGTTTGTTACTCTCTCGTAACACCTTTAATCTTTGGTACTTATAAGACCTTATTGTGTTTTAAGTGCTGTAAAATTGACTAAACCTAAGTTTTTAAGGTTGTTTCATTTTCACTGCACTATTTGATGCGCACAGAACGAAATGACCTGGCGTCGTGCTGTGGAGGCTGTACATTTCATCCACGCCAAACTGAATACAAAAGACCAGAACTTGATTGGTCAGCCCCCGAAAGAGGTGAGACTCAACCCTTGCACCAACGTCCCTCCCTCCCACACAGATGTTGAAATATATAAACATGTTGTTATTATTATCGATCCAGCAACAGCTGGGCTCTTGCCCTTCTGTCCAATGCCATGTAGTAATAAGAGCAGGTTAGTTTACTGCAGTTGCTGTAATGTTCCATAGAATGTATGGTCAATTTTAGGTCTCGGCAGGATGAAATATATATAGACTGATGAATATTGAAATATGTATCAATAGACAGGTGGGTGGGTGGGTAGATAGCTAGCTAGCTATCATTATGCTCTTAATTTCTTTTAATTTTCAACCCTACAATTGTCTTATCTATTGTTCACTTTGAGAAAATTAAAGGTTCAAAAAATAATGATGGGGAAGATCATAAAAGAGGGAAGAAGTGTGTATGGCTTGGTGTTGGTTTAAAGACCCTATTTACGCTATGAGATTATTAAAGAGGCAGAACCTTCAAGTAACCTGCAGGTTAAGCATTGATCTCCAATATTACGACGTCAAATAGGTTGAGACCCTTAAAAACTCTCTGAACTGCAGGAGTTCACAACTGCCTCATTATTAGTTCAAACCATGGTCATCACCACCACAGTTCAGCTTGGTTAATGCACTCAGAGAAATGTGTAACAGAGGAGAGGAAGTAACTGTTTTATGTTTTGATTATATAAAATAGGAGAGGAAGAAACTGTTTTATGTTTTGATTATATAAAATAGGAGAGGAAGAAACTGTTTTATGTTTTGATTATATAAAATAGGAGAGGAATTAACTGTTTTACATTTTGATTTTTTTTAAAGGAGAGGATGTAACTGTTTTATGTTTTGATTATATAAAATAGGAGAGGAATTAATTGGTTTACATTCTGATTTTTTTTAAAGGAGAGGATGTAAGTGTTTTATGTTTTGATTATATAAAAGCTTAGACAGGGTGATTTATATATTATATTTCCTTTAGTTAGAATGTCCGATAGCTGCTCTGTGATTAAAGTGGAGAAACTGTATGATCATGTCTTATGTCTGTTCCTGTTGCAATGCTTTAATGAGTGTTTTATGTAATGTGACGTAGGACAATGGCATTAAACACTGAATAAACTTATTTACTTACTTACGTACTGTTGCCAGGCCTACCAGAAGACGGATATGGTCATTTCCTCTAACGATGACCGGATCCTGCAATGCTGCGTGCAGTGGAAGGAGAAGTGTAAGTGATTGACCCTGTGTGAATTTACCAAGAACCTCTCATGTTAATCATTATTTCTGGGAGGAATTCTGTAACGAGTGACCACTATAAAACAGACTGGAATAGAGGGTTAGAGTTTGGGGGTAAAGGTAGGGGGGAGGGTAGGGGTAGGGAAGGGGTTGGGTCAGCGTTAGGGTTAGGTCTTTACTATATTTTCCTTCCTTATTTCTTTTTTAAAAGAATTTGATAAAGATGATAGAAAAAGATAGAAGGAAAGAAGAGCAGAGGAATACAGAGAGTAACAAACACAGATGGGATGTTTGACATACAGCACTGTGAAAGAACCTGAGCTGATCAGGAGGACAGACAACAGGAGACAGTCATCAATGTCTGCTTGAGACCTGAAATCCAAAGAAGAATATGATAAAGAATTTCAAAGTTGATTTTAAGTCTCTAACAATAAAAGTCCCTTGTTCTCTCAAATAAAAATATCATTCAGAAGTAAAAGATCTTGTTATAAGTATTCCTATGACCTTTAATGCATGCAATATCAGAATACCACTGAGTTACAATCAGAAAAGCTGAGTAAGTATCTAGCTTAACACTATTAATGTTTATAATTACTGGTGAGTTCAAGTATACTATTGTATAATCATGGTTATGTGCACGGATGTGTGTGGAAGAGAGAGTGTGTGAGAGAAGAGTGTGTTTGTATATAGGTGTGCACATGTGCGTGCATATGCATGTGTGTGTGTATTTGTGTATGTGTGTGTGTGTGTATGTGTGTACGTGGTGAAACACCAAACCGATGTGCCAGGTTCTGGATAATAAAGATGTTTCTTATCTTATCATATCTTTCATGTTATGTATTCCCATGCTGTTGGGTTTTTTTAACGCAGGCCCTGATGATCATGTGATTTTATTGAGCCGCGACCTGAACCTCACCAACAAGAGTGTGATCATGGGAATCTCTGCTGCAAATACAGAAGTGAGTCCAATGGTGTGTTTCTCGTGTTTGTATGGCTTTGTCTCAAGTTGTGATATAGATCAACCCTCTTAACCCTTCCAGCCCCAGCCATTTTTGTGTACTCGCTAACCCCAGTCCCAGCCAGTACAGCAGTATTTCAGAAAAAGAGGCATGCATTCTAAAAAGTAATGATGTAGTATCTTTGTAATGAGGTTTAGATAATATCATATAACAATGTTTAAAGGTAATGGAACACATATTATAAACATTGAAGTTTAATTAGGTTCTCTGCTATTTCGAAAAATGCACAAACTGGATGCCCCCCCGAAACAGAATATGCACCCTTGGGACAGTGGGAAGTACAAGTGATGCTGAAAATATACGTGCATGGGGCTGGAAAGGTCAAATTTAGAAATGAGCCTCCAAGACCAGCCAATTAGACCAAATTTGGAAGAGCCACATTTGTTTTTGTTTTTCCTAGGGAAGGGGGGGGGGTTGGGGGTTAGGCAATAGAAACCAAAAAGGTTGACCTGCTTGTCTTCTTTGAAATATACCGTTGTGTTGCTACCAAATCTTTTCTTCCTTCACCTCTTTCCTTGTTCTCTAGTCGTGTACTGTCATCTGCTTAAATCTCCACTTTCTTCTCCCAACCCGAGGCCTCCTCTTGGCTCTTCCGTCCTTTACTCCTGACTCTTTCTACTGCCACTCCTGGATCCTTTTAACTGCTGTATTTCAGCAACACCCCCCTGATCTTAGGGAAGGGTAGATCAAACACAAGATATTGAGTGTTACAGCTTGAAGAATGCTAAATGTTGGAATTTCGTTTACTTTCCCAGACCCTGTGGAATGAGCTGAAGATGCCAAAGCCAAATCTGAAGCTGCTGCAAAAACCACCAAGCAATGAGACCACTCAGAAAGGTTGTACAGTCTGCCTGGCATGTTTTGGGGTTGGGTTGTTGTTGTTTTTTGTTTTTTTCCCCATTTTAATTTTTTTTTTGGGGGGGGGGGTGATGGGTTGTGGAGAGATGGTTGGTTTGTTTTTTGTTTGGGTTGGGGGGGTTTTGGCACTTGTCCTGATTTGGTACCGATATGTCTAACGTTACGTAAAAATATGCCGACGTGGTTGAAATTGTTATACTTCAAGAAAAACGAAATAAGAATAAGGAAAAGAGTGTTGATAACATAATGACGATATGATGACGGCAGCGATGATAATGATGCTGTAATGTTCGGAATGACATGCAGGTTAATCTTGGTGTTGGTTTATTTCTTCATTTGGTGCCTATCCTGTGCATGTCATTTTTGTTTCAAACAGTATAGATTTTTTCCTTTATCCACACTGCATCTGGCATTTTCTGGTATCCATTAGTCTGCTTAGTCACATGCTTTATAATCACAGGACATGTAAAATCTTGACCAATACAGCGCAAACACTTTTGTCTTCTGTGTCAAAATAATGCTGACAGAGTTCAAGCTTCTGTTCCTTTATGGTTCTGTTTGTTTGCTTGGTATGAGAATGTTGGTTCTTTTTTTTCATTTTCCTTGTTCGCTTCTTTTTTTGTTAATCTGTCTATGTCTTTCTTCTTTCTTAGTGGATAGGCTCTTTGTTACTGCAAGTTCATTCTACTGTTGCTTCTTGCTGTTTTGTCTTGCTCTTTCCTGGCACTGAATCATTGTTATCATGTCGGTGTACTATATGAATTACTACAGAGCCAATGGTTGGCGGGTGCTCTGGTGTGGTTTGCTCCTTCTTTCTTATCAAACATCTATCGACCTGATCTCTCTTCTATCTTTTGTGCGTTTGTTACTCTCTCGTAACACCTCTAATCATCGGCACTTTTATGACCTTATTATGTTGCAAGTGCCATAAAACTCTTACTAAAAACTAAAGAATTACTCCAGAGATTTGATCCCCACACAAGGTGTTTTGAGTTGATGTTGATCATCACTGATTGTCAAATAGAGGAGATATGAAAATATTGGGGGGTGGAGGATTATAAGCCAGTGAGCCAGCTCTACAACAAATCGTCAAACAGAGATGAAAAAATTACCCTTTGATTTGATATTCGATTGGTAACAACAAGGAAGAATACAACGACCATGTAAAAAATGGTAAAGAATCAACTTACACAACAACCTGTGCTGGGCGAAAAATATGTGTAATTATTGAGTTAGTGGTCTTGTGCTGTGTACCTTTCAGTGCTGGGCATTAGGGTCATATCTCCATCTGACACCATGAGAAGAATTTAAGGAAATGAAATGTTTAGAATGAAATGTGTAACTTGTGTCAGAAATAGAATTAAAACCTCAGGTTGACAGGATTATGAAAATGTATCCATGAGCTAGCTGCAGGTTTTCCTTCCTCACTGCTTTAATATAATTCTAAATGCAAACTACTAAATAAATTTTTTTTTTGATAAGTATATTACGGTAATTACAATTATGTATCTCAGTTCTAATGCACTGTGTGTTCTTAATTTCAGGGAATCAGAATGTGGCTGCAACAAGTGGCAAGAGCAAAAACTCTGAGGGTAGTCATGTCAAGGTATGACGTGTCAGAATGGACATATATATATATTGCTTTCCTTTCAGAGTTTTTGTGTGAAATGGGTCTGCCAACATTTTCAACATTGTAAGGTTGTCTATGAGGCTGTACCCCCAAAGTATCTGCATGTTATGGAGAGGGCCAGGTGTGGTCATGAGAATACCCCAAACAACCAGAGTGCAAGAACTCTCAGTTATGGATTTGAACCTGGGTCATCCGCATTGCAGTCCATTCCTTTCTTTGCTATACAAAGTTCAAGCAAGCTAAATGCTGATACTCTTCAGCCTGTTAGTTCTCCTATACTTCTTGCATGGCTGAGTGCAGTTAAGACTAACGTTGAGGAAATTATCTTCATTGACCAAGACTTAATACAAATGCTCCAGAGTTTTTGATGACCACAGAAAAGCTGAATGCAGCAGAAGGTAAGTAAGAGAGCCCTTGTCTCATCACTTGTGAGAGGTGAGGAAAAGAAGATCTACCGCAGTATCTGTAACCACAGTTGTGCCCTAACAAACATAAACATTTTACTTTGACAAGAATGTTTTCAAAAAGCAAATCAAAGCAAGTAGCAGCTTTTCTTTTAACAACTTTACTTAATTTAAATTCATTTTCTTGTTTTATACTATATTTTAAAATGCTCCCTCAATTTGTAGGATGGGCACGGGACAACCTTTCCTCCCTTCAAAAAAGAAAATGTTGATTCTTCTGTCGTGAGTTTGTGTTGACTTCCATTGTTATGGACTGGGTTCAGGGACTGAGTTGAGGGCAGGGCTTATAGGTTGTGACGGATCACACGCTTCCCTTACCAGCAGCTGAAAATTTATTGTTATCCATTGGTCAACTTGGGTAAGCATTGAGAGCAACCTAAGCAACATGATCGTTTCATCCATAGGAGGGACTAGCAATAATGACATGTGAATGAATTATGACAGCTTGTCCACGTCAGGGGAAAATGCAAAATTTTTGACAAAGTCTGGCCGTCTCAGATAGGTAAATTTGATTGTGGGTTGATAAAATAGGGTGGCCGCGGTCGCGTTGCACAGGTGCCCGTTTTACACAGGTAAAATGTATAGAAAAAACGCAAGGGGGGGGAAGGAAAGTGGCCGTTTGTACAGGTGGCCGTCAGGGCAGATTCGATTGTATTTTCACTCCAGTTGTACTCATATACTATTCTATCTTGATTTTTTTTTAAAGTAAAAAGTATTCATCTCAGTTATATAATTCTCAATTTCCCTTTCCTTTAGTTTTTATTTCTCTTCTTGTTTGGTTTTTTTACAGCAACTTTTTCTCTCAGAGCCGGAGACTACGAATCAGAAACAACTCCCAGTGAGGTACAACAAAGCAACCACCAAAGTAAACAGCACCGACGCGCCGCCATCGTTATTATCATTACCATGTCAGCAACCTGTAAACTCCTCCAGAAATGTGTACAATAACCCCACACTTCAAAAGACATGTGTTCCCGGAATCTCAGCACCCTCCACTGAGGACAGGCCTGCCAGCCTCTCAAATACGCAAGAAAATCTGAACCAGGTAGCGAAGAATGTGACTCATAAGCCCACTTCAAAGCACCTGCAACCGCAAAGCTCGTCAAATTGGGACAAAACCCAAGAACAAACCAGTGTTTGTTTTGTAGAGAGTTCCCAGTCCGTTAGTTCCAGTTCCGGGGTAGTTCCAGGTACGAGGACAGAACGTGTCCAGTCGGATGAACCGATGGAGTCTGCCACTGAAAGCGCATCTGGCAACACTGGCAAAAATTTGGATCCTACTTCTGAACCCGCAAGGGAACTACGAGCCACACAGTCTGAGGTAAGAATCTTCTAAAAGACAATTTGGTTTACCTTTTCTTGTTGGTGGTTGGCGGGGGCTCTGGTGTGGTTCACTCCTTCTTTCCTATCAAACGTCTATCATCCTTATCTCCCCTTCTTCTTTTTTGTGTTTGTTACTTTTTTTACTCTCTTGTAACATCTCTAATCTTCGGCACTAAAATGACCTAATTGTGTTGCAAGTACCGTATGGTAAAACTCATTTTAAAACATTACGTTTTCTTTAATATGATGGTTTAAAGGAGGGGGAAGGGGAACTATCAATTAGACCTGCATGTTTGCCGACAATCGTCTGAAATCCGACAATCGCGACCCGACTCGCGAGGCGGCCGATGCTATCGCTAGGCCCACCTGTATCAGTCAATGTGCGTAGTGCGAGGCCTGGCCGACTGCCAGCGCCCCCCTTTTCTCCGGTTGGCTTTGTCGGCACTTTCGTTTTCGTGCCGACCGCCGATGCGCGCACCGCCGACTGCCGACGTCGGTGTTTCCGACATAATTGTCGGAACCTGAGTAGAAATGCGAATACGAAAAAAGACGACGACCTAAATTATCTAATTTCAGTTTCGTGCTCGAGCGGCCATTTTGAACTTCGTTTTGTTGACAAATTCAATTGTTCAGATCGTGTGGATTCATTCCAGTCCGACTCACTTAGATAATAGAATCTAGATCTAGATCTAGATCTAGATCTAGATTTATATAGATCATTATAGACCTCAATGGAGGATTCATATTCCAATTCTATTTTGTCAAACCCTATCAAAGGTTGTGCTGTAATATTAATGTTGGTAAAAGGCATTTCATCAGGTGCGTGAATTATTTATTTATTTAGAATCTAGACTCAACTGAGCCCCTCTGTTCGGAATTGGATGCGGATTTCTAGTTCAAGGCCTATTCCTAGATCCTATTCACTTGTTCTTCTAGATCTAGATCTAGATTTATTTAGTTTACTAGATCTAGATCTATGTGGAGGATTCATATTCCAATTCTATTGTGTTATTGTATCAAACCCTATTATTGTAGATCTAGCAATATGTAGATGTAGGCCATTATGATTATATTATGCTCCTTGTAAGCCTTGTTTGTTTTGGAGTGTGGTTTTTTAATTTTAAAAATATTTTTCATTTTGGACTTGTGCTGGCCTTTTCACATGAGGCTCGTTGCAGGTTCTTATTTGGGGTAGGCCTAGGGGTAGGGGTAGGGTTAGGTCTCTTCTTTGTTGTGTTTGTTGGGGTGGTCGCTCGTTACTCGGAAGTCCTTCCTTATGACACCAACAAAAGCTCTTTTGGGAGGGGGGGGAGGGGTTGCGCAAAATTTTCAGACAATCTGGTTGAGGCTCACATGCAGGTCTATATCAATGTATAGTGACTTGAACAAAACAGAGATGTGTTGCAGCTAGCACCTCTTGAATTATCCAACAAATATACAAGAATCTGGCCATGGGGAAGTCTACCTCATTAACTTTCTCCATCTTTCTGCTTTTATGCTGTATCCTATTTAGCCTAGACTAGAGTCAATGTAGCTTGCAAACTTGATGATGATCTAAATTGTGTTGATGAGAGTGCAAAACTTTTACTATGATTTCACAAACAGTCCTCCAATTCCTTTCAGACTGCGTCTCCTGCTGCCAGTGTTACTGAGTGTGAGAGTCTAGTCTTGAGCAAGTTTCAGAATATTTGGACATTCATCACAGAGTTCAGGTGAGAGTTAAACATAGTCATAATAATGATGATAATAATAATAATAATAATATAGTACATATCCACGCTCTACAGCATGCTCTATGAGCTTTACAACCATTATTATCCCAGCAGACCCTAGAACACTCAGAAACATTGTTGGCTTCCCAAGAAACATACAGTGCAAGCTGTGGAATGTAAATTTATACTAAAACACAAACTAACTGACAAGATCTCTCCCTGTCTATAGCTGGGTACCCATTCCCACCTGAGTGAAGTGTGGAAAATTCGTGTAAAGAGCCTTCCCATCGTCAGGTCACTGGTGGGATTTGAACCCGCAACCTAACATTCGCGACCTCAGTGCTTTCTTGTCGTATCTCCATTTTTTTTAAACATTGAAAATGTGACTTCTTCATAAGCTCACTCTTTGTTATGTACTGTTTTCATTGTTTAAAAAAATGGAGATTCGACAAGAAAGCTCTGAGGTAGCGAGTTGCGAGTGTGAGAGCCTAACCACTAGTCTACTCTTCTTCTTTCCTAGTTGTTCATATGGTGACATCAGACATTTTCACAGATGCAGCTGTCTTTATAAAAACTAGGACTTATGCATTGTAGAAATAGTTGGAGAAGGTGGTGCAGGCAGCTAGTGGTAAGGACTGTGTTCTGACATTGTTTGAGGGGGCAGAAGCGGTGAACAATATTGGTTTTGTGTGTGTGTGTGTGTGTGTGTGTTCCAACTAACTTAATATAAACAGTATTGTAAAGTTTGTGGCAATTTCCTGTTTTCATGTTTAATTTGGGAACTGGCAGAAAAGCTTTATTTCTGTTTTTTACAAGTCTTCAAGTCATTGGAAGTCACTGCTGCTACTGGTAGATCCAACTTCTTTACTTCCCCCTGTTGTTTCTAACTGTCTGACTTTTTCTCAGCACAACATGACCATTATTGAGTCAATGTGCTTCTTTTTTTACTGTTTAAAAAAACACAGTGAAACAATAGAACACAAGATGAGTACTCTGTTTCTATTTTGTCTCAGTTCATCAAACACAGACTGATTTTCTTCAGTGGTTCTGCCCCCCCCCCCCCCCGGGGCAGTGCTACTGACTGAAGTGTCTTTAGGCCCTTTCCAAAGAGGGGGGACATTAACATCCTGAGTTTTTATGCACAGTAGAATTGTAATTGTAAATGGGCTGATTCATCAATGTCACTCTCATAACTGTGCCTGAACTGCAACAGGGAACTGCTGCTTTTTCTTTCCTAATCCTTACTATCGTCAATTTTCCTCTACTTTTTTTGTATGTCTGTCACTCTCTTGTGACCCGCTATTTCCGGGGTGCCTTGATAGTCGAAGCAGACTTTGTGCTATTGAAGCTAGAGAAGTGAGCAGAGTAAGCCCGATTCCCTGCAAGGACCTCACTGTTGACATCCACCCCTTGGCGCTCATATGACCTTTTGCAGTTGCGAGCTCTGTATAACCTCTACTAAAACTAACTTCAGTAGCCCCCGCGTTCATACCCTTCAACCCAATGCCACTATGTAGAAAGTAGAACTCTTTGTAAATTATCCCTTTAACCAATTTTTAAAAAGTGTTTAAGTTATAAGTTAAAGAATACGGCAGACTTCATTTTGTACAACGAACCTTGTCTCTTGTCGGAAGTTGCTTCTGTTTCTAGCTGACTTGTCTTCCCTATCTATTGTTCTTTTTTTTTTTCCCTATACTTATACTGAACCTGGAAGCAAGGGGTCTGAAACCTGAGGATAAAAGCCGCATGTTATGCTCTAACTAACTGGGCCTGCTTGAACAGCATACTTCTCTGAAATAATAAATTATATACATTATTATTCATGTACTGGTATTTGGTGCAGTAGTTACGCTCTTCATCACTTCACACAGATTTGATTTCTATTTGTTTGGGGGTTTTTAAATTTTGTTTTGGGGGTTTTTTTATTTGAATGTCTTCATGTCTGCTGGGACACTGTACCCCACTCAGCCCTAATGGGCTGTGTTGAAACATCCCACCGCTTGAATGATCTAAATTATGTTGATGGGGGCATAAAACATACAATTACAATTTTACTTAGGTAAACTAGGTCGCTTCTACCCTCGACACCACAAGGTAGCAGAAGCCCCAAAAAGTGAAAGCAACTAACTTGTAATATGAGTAACTCTTCGGCCAACTAGCTCTCATCCATTCCCTGAGACTCCTGGGTGGGTGGTTGGCGGGTGCTCTGATGTGGTTTGCTTCTTCTTTCCTATCAAACATCTATCGTCCTTATCTCCCCCTCCTTCTTTTTTATGTTTGTTACTCTCTTGTAACACCTCTAATCTTGTGGCGCTCATATTTCCTCATGCAGTTGTGAGCGCCGTAAAACCTCTACTAAAGCTAAAACAAGACTCCTGGGGGGGGGTTTTTCCTCTTAGGGATGAGCTTATCAAGGTGCTCAACGAGGGCCAGTCACACGCAGAGTTCCCTATGGCTGTGGCCGCGCTGAGACGAGTGGGCAGCCTCATGATAGAACTGATGGAGAAGTTTACAGAGTGAGTTTTTTGTCCATGTTTGTTGTCGCTTTCTTTTTCTCGATATTATCGCACGTTACCCTCCTCTTTTTTTTTTTTTGGTGTTTGTTGCTCTCGTGTAACACCTCTAATTTTTGGTACTCATGTGACCTCATTGTGTTGCAAGTGCCGTAAAACTCTTACTAAAACTAAAAAAATGGGAAGTCCGGTATGCTGGTGGTTGGCGGGTTCTTTGATGTGGTTTTCTCAATCTTTCCTATAAAACATCTATCGTCCTGATCTCTCCTCCTTTTATAAAATGTTTGTTACTCTCTTGTAACACCTCTAATCTTCGGCACTTATATGACCTTTTTGTGTTGCTAGTGCCGTAAAACTCTTACAAAACTAAAAAAACATGAAGTCCAGTATCTATCACATAATGGGCAGTCCTGCTTAGATCTTCTGTCGGCCCGTACAGCTGCTCCCATAGTGTCAGTGGGGTTGGTCGTGTTTCCTGTCGTAGGGCCGTGTGTGTCCTGCACTGCTGAAGGATGTATTCCGCAGTTTGGTCCACTTCTCCACTCTGGCATTTTGGTGATTGCTGTAGTTTGTTGTCATTCATCTCACAGTTGGATGAGTTGTCCATCCTGGCAGTACTAGAAGGCAACTGCATTTTGTATTCTTTTGTCAAAATCTGTGGAGTGCTGTTCTTATGAATTGGAGAGTGTGAGAGATATAAAACATTTTGTATTGCCCCCAAGTGTGACCTAGTGTCAAAGTTTTACCATTGGTGATATATTAATTGTATTGTTTTAATTTTTGGAAGGTTGGATGGTGCCACTGGTAGGTCATACTTCTTTTCTTTACTTCTCTTGTTTCTCTCTATCTGTCCCTATTTTTTTCTCTACCCTTTATGGCCTTTGCAGTGATGATGTGCTTCTCTCTGCCCGAACTCAAAACTTTGGGAAAATGTGCAGCCATCAGAGTCAGTTGTAAGGGATCTAGTGCTTTGTTGTCAGTAAGTTTGGCTGGAACTCCAAAATTAACTCTTTGCTTCTTGCTCTTTATTTTTTTGTAATGTTGGTGCGGACAAAGTGAGATGCAGAAAAGAAAAGAAATTTTCTTGGAAGACTCAGCCTCATTAAGTTCACAATGTATTTTCAGCCTTGCACTGAGCTCTTGCTATTCCTGTGCTAACAATTTCAGTGACTTTTGTTGTTTTATTTCATTTTTCTGGGCACCATTAGTATATAGTATTGTGATGACATTTCCTGTGAATTTATTTTGTTTTTTGTTTATGGAAATGTCAGTCCTTGTTGGCTGCCTCCCCCCTCCCCCCAACCCCACGGGTGGATAAAGGGTGCTATTGGGCTCTGTGTGTCTGTCTTGTTTTGCTTTTTCTCATGCACTAAACGACCATTATTTTGTCAGTGTGCTTCTTTTTTCTCAAACCCAATGCCAAACCTTGGAACTTGTCAAATACCAAAATAACCTTTGATCTTTGTGGCCCAGGTGTCTGGATCTGTCACCCGTCATTCTACAAGATCGACAGCTGGAGTTCAAGGCCTTTGCCGAGTGTCTCAATAACTTCTTGTTGAGAACTGAGGTGAACGTGACTAAAACAACTCCACCATTAGATCACCGCCAGCTCATCGGGTATTTTTCTGCAACAAAGAGCAGGTAACTGTGTGTTTGCTTGTGTGTTCAAAAAGGTTGGCGAGTGGTTGGAGTGTGCCACTGGTAGGTCCTACTTTTTTTCTTTCCCTCTGATATTTTGTTTTGCTTCTTCCCCACACTATATTGTCGTGTTATTGTGTTGCTATGATTCTTTTTACTCAAACTCAAACGGGTTGGGACCACAGGAGCAAGATGTTTGCTCTAGGTGAGTACTCTGATGTAATTTGCTGTCTCTCTCTCTCTCTCCCTCTCTCCCTCTCTCCCTCTCTCCCTCTCTCCCTCCCTGATATTTGGGTATAAGACACCAAGAAGGACTCTCCACCTGTCCCTGTTCTGGATGATCCTGTCTTGCTCTATCCAGCTGTACCCCAACTGTCTGAGGTCCAGGTGGATCTCAAACTTTCTCTCATCCTTTTTACCTGGGGATTCCATCTTTGGCTAGCTTCTTAACCTTATCCGTACGCCCTGGGGGTCATTTTGTGCCCCCGGGGTTGTATTCTTCACATTTTAGCATACTTGGAGTTTGAAACTTTCAGTATTTCTCAAAAAATCATTTTTACAGACTGCTATGCTAAGCGTACGGATTGGATTAACGAGTCAATTTCCTCTTTGGAAAGTGGTGGCACAGAGTCGTATGGATACGATAGAAAAACATGACGTACGGATAGAGTTAAAAGTATTTCCAATCCACCGCCATCTTCTTTTCTTGATCTCACGGTCTACTGATTGTTGTTTGTTTCCCCTCCTGAAGGCTAAATTTCTGAAGGTGTCGGACCAGTGAATTTTCATGGTTTTCCTAATGCAACCATTGATGAAGGACTATAGCTTTTTAACTGTCTGCTTTGTTTGTTAGTTTTATGTTCTCAATCTGTTGTTAATTAAGAATTGTGACAGTTACGCTGGAGGTGGGGTATGATGGGTGCTCTGTTCTGGTGGACTCTTCTACTTCTTTTCAGTTTAGCTGTCATTTAAATTTGTTCTTTACACTTTGTGGTCACTTAGCGCAATAATGCGACGAGGGAAATTATCCATTCTGGTCACCCGGTGCAGCCCAAGAAGTCCGTTGCAGTCACTCTCCTGGCTGGGTGACCAGATGGGATATTTTGTACTGCTGGCTGTGTGAATGCAAGTGTTAAGGAAATCTGCCAGTGGATGGAGGACACCTCTTCACTATCTGTCCTTTGTTTCTGTCTGTGTTTCTTGGTTTTATCTGCCTCTGAGTGACTGTTGTTGTGTCAGTGTGCTTCTCTTTACTCGACCTCACTGAATGACCTTAGGAAATTTGGGTGTTACCCCTCTGAGTCACTGTAAAACTACCGACTCCACAGTTCTGTCTCTTGCCCCCCCCCCCCTCCCCCCGGTGCTCTGGTGTGGTTTACTCCATCTTTCCTATCAAACATCTATCATCCTTATTTCTCCTCGTTCTTTGTTGAGTTTGTTACTCTATTGTAACACATCTAATTTTCAGCACTTATATTAAGGTCTTATTGTGTTGCAAGTGCTGTAAAACTCTTACTAAAACATCTGTGCCACCCCCTCCCCCCCCCCAACCCGTCCTGTACAGACCACAACTCAAAGCAGGCCTGGAGGAACTGTCGGGGTTCATCAAACTCTTCCAGGAGATGAGCGGTCAAATTTTTGCAGCGGCATCCTCCTGATGAGAGTAGAGAGAGGAGGTGCCCATTGGAGGATTGGGTCAGATCGGATCAATTTGCTAGCCAGTTTGAGGGTGCAAAGCGGCTGTCTTGGCACAAGCCGATCGCGCCCAACTCGTGGCCTTAAAAAAAAGTGTTTGTTTTCTGGCGACAAGTTGGACGATCGACCCGACCTGACCCGATCCCATCCGCTATGAGCAGCACGTTTAAAGGTGTATGTACACTTGTTTGGTTGTACAGTGTCTTCAGATTTGTCTTCGGGAAAAGTGCACATCCTCGTCTCAGGGTTCATGACCATTTTTGTGCTGTAAGGAATATACGGTATAACACGGATAGCTTGAATTCGTCGAGACCGGCCTCGGTAGTTCGAGGGATTCGTAGTTGGAGTGATATCTTACAAAGACAAAGAAGAAGGAAAAAAATGGGACTGCAGGCACAGTTTGACGGATACGTATGTGACTTTGAGTCTTTTGTGTTTGACCTATCCATCTTGTACTCTATGTAATTATGATTATATTGTCTAGATCATGGTGCACTTGCCTAAGTAATTTTTTGCAGGTTTCATATAAACCCACAATCTTTCTCCATCCTCATATACAAACGTGGATCCATGCATGCATGCACATGCACATGGGCACACACACACACACACACACACACACACACACACACACACACACACACACACACACACACACACACACACATACATGCATACATGCATGCATGCGCACACACACACACACACACACACACTGACACACACACACACACACACACACACACACTCTCTCTCTCACATATTCACCCTCACACTCGCACACACACACTGACACACACACACACTCACACTCACACACACACACACACACACTCACACACACACTCTCTCACATTAAGACACAGAAGCATGTTCGCAGCTAGCTCAGACTAGCATCCTTATACTGTCATAAGCTGACAAAACGCTTTTTAAAAAATTCACAACAGTTTCAAGTAAATGAGGTTTTTTGTCTGCTTAACGATTGAGAAGTAGGGTTCTTCCTAAATTTGAATTCGAATTTATTCAAAAACTAGTCACAGTTTCATTTTGATGTTCTTTCACTCAAGTATGGTAACTGATCAAACTTTCGACTGAGAATATAAAAAATGTTTTCTCGCCAAAATGAAAAAAAAGACGTTTTGTCAGCTTGCGGCGGTATACTTGTTTAGTTCTAGAGTCATTATATTGTGTTTTAAAAAAAGCAATGTGTGTGGTTGGCGGGTGCTCTGGTGTGTTTGCTTCTTCTTTCCTATCAAATATCTATCGTCCTTATCTCCCTTTCTTCTTTTTTATGTTTGTTACTCTCTAGTAACACCTCTAATCTCCTGGCGCTCATATGACCTTATGCAGTTGCGAGCGTGGTAAAACCTCTACTAACTACTAAAAAAGCAATACTAATTAACAGAATAAAAAGCAACAGAGGGAGTGCAAAGAAATAGGACTTACCAGTGACTCCTTCCAACCACCTCTTACAATTGTACACTTGGTCTTTGTTATTTTCTAGTCAAATTCTTTATTGAAGTGATTTTTATTCCATTAATGTGAAATATTTAATCATTTTCTTGGTAGATTTTTGTGTAAATTTAAAGTGTGATTCAAAAGATTCATTTTAAAATTCGAATAATAATGCTGTTGGTTGACGGATGCTCTGGTGCGCTTTGCTCCTTCTTTTCTATCAAACGTCTGTCATCCTTATTTCTCCTCCTTCTTTTTTTTGTTTTGTTTGTTACTCTCTTGTAACACCTCTAATCTTCGGCACTTATATGACCTTATTGTGTTGCAAGTGCCATAAAACCCTTATTAAAACTAAAAACTTTTACGTCACTTGCAGCACAATTAGGTCATACTAGTGCCAGATATTAGAGGTATACGAAGAGACACAAATGCAAAAATTGAGGAGAGAGATAAGGACAATAAATGTTTGATAAGAAGGAAGAAAGAAAGAAACATGATGCAGCAGGGATTTTTTTCTCAAGATGTACATTCACATACAATAAAATATTTGGTTTTGTTTTTGTTGGGGGGGGGGTAATTCGTTTTGATTTCCTGGTACAGTTCGGTTTTTTTTTTGTTTCGTATTGAGTTAGTTTCTAGTTTTACTTTACCTTTTTGTAGAGGAGGGCTTCCGGTTGATGAATATTTTGTCTTGTTTTGTTGTTGTTGTTGTTGTTGTTGTTGTTGTTGTTGTTGTTGTTGTTGTTGCTTATTTGGGTTTGTTTTGGTTGAGAAGGTGCGTGCGTTTGAGATGGGTGAGGGTGGGGGTCTCTCTACAGTTGTACGCAGTACAATGTTTGTTGTTGTAGCAATTTAGTTCTCAAAGAAAGAATACTGGGGCAATATTTGGTCAAACGGCTTTTACATTGGTGGTCTCGAAAAGATCAATGTTTTGTGGTTGTTTTTGGTAATGTTTTTGTCTTTTACAAAATGAGAATAATTTTTAGTCCTTTCTACCCCCC